ATAATTTATTAATAAAATAAAGAAAGAATTATATGTAAAAATAGCTAAAATGGTCATCTATAGTAACTTCAGCCAATACAGACGGAAAAGTAACTTCAACCTTACTTTTTCTGCTTATTACAAAATCCAGCGCGCGAAAGCAAAAATTAAGTGTTTGGTGAAAAAGTTGGCTGATAAGCCTGATAAGCCGAAAAACAGTGTTGCCAAACGGCCTCCTAGATGAAGCTGATGTTGAGGTTGTGGCGGATGTGCGGCGGGCGCATCCCCCTCCTGAGCCGCCGCCATGGAGTGCAAGCAAATCTAGGGTTTGGAAGAAGATGAGTGAACCCTATTTTAATTCCGTTTTATTATGTTTTTGTTTTTCTGTCGATTTGCATGTTGTTTTGATCGTGTTCTTTTTACCTAGCAAAGAACTTCTTGAATTTAGGTTAGGTGATGAGAAGTCTGGTTTGCCAGTCATTGGCTCAGTTAAGCCCATTACAAGATCAGCGAATGTTATTGCTTCTACAGAGGTGATAGATTCTTAGAAGCTGTTCTGTTCGTCTTAATCTTATTACTTATTGCTTATTCTTATTTTATTCAGATCAGATCAGATCAGAAAAATTCAGATCAGATCAGAAAGATTCAGATCAGATCAGAATCATTCAGATCAGATCAGAAACATTCAGATCAGATCAGGAACATTCAGATCAGATCAGAAAAGTTCAGACATGATTTATCCCTTTTATTATAATAATAATAATAATTATTATTATTATTATTATTATTCTTGATGTTGTTGTAATTATTATATTTAATATTACTATTGATATTATTATTATTATTATTATTATTATTATTATTATTATTATTATTAGTAATATGATTACTATGATTACTATGATTACTATGATTATTATTATTATTATTATTATATTTATTATTATTATTATTATTAGTAATATGATTACTATGATTACTATGATTATTATTATTATTATTATATTTATTATTATCATGATTATTATTATTCTTACTACTATTATGGTTGTTGTTGTTATTGTTATTAGTTTTGTTTTCATTATTATCATATTATACGGAGTAATTACAATTAAAATTATAGAAATAAATATTATAATTATATTTAAAACTATAATTATAGAAATAAATATAACTATAAATATAATTACAATTACAATTATAGTTATATTTATAACTAGTGTAATACGTATAATAATAATTATACCTATTATAATTATTTTTGTAATTATAATTATAATTTTTATAATTATGATTATATTTATAATTATATTTAAATTATGTATGTGTAATTACATTTATAATTATAGTAATTATAATTATAATTATAATTTTAGAAATATTGAAATCAGATCAGATCAGAAAGATTCAGATCAGATCAGAAGGATTCAGATCAGATCAGGAACATTCAGATCAGATCAGGAACATTCAGATCAGATCAGAAAGATTCAGATCAGATCAGAAAAATTCAGATCAGATCAGATCAGAACTTAAAAAATTCAGATCAGAAACATTCAAATCAGGTGAAGAGAACAGCTTCTTAGTCTGGTTCGAGGGCGGACGGCACACATAAGGCTTTTTATCATTTTGTTTACTTCTTTTTCTTTGATTGTATTTTTGACATAATAGAGGTATAACTAGAAACTCAAAGTCATTCAAAAAAGAAACTCAAAGTAAACTTTATCTTATAGTACATGTGAGTATCATTGGTCATTACATCCCCCATTACTAATAAGGAAATTTTAGGTGCTTTGTTGGAGATTAGAGAAATACAAAAGTTCGACTTAGGATGTTTTTACTTGACTATTTTTAGTCCCAGACCAGTTCAGCTCAGACTTCCGTAGTTATAAAATACAAAGAGACCAGAGATTTACCGGACCAGACCAGTTCAAACCAAACCAGATTTTAACAGATCAGACCATATCAGACTTAAACAGACCAGACCAGCAAATAACAGTCCAAGTAAAAACATCCTTATTGGCTAATCTTTTGTATTTTTAAACATAAGCGGAACTGCGGAAGAGAGTTAAGGATGATTTCAAGATAGCAATCAAGAAATTCTATGAAAATGATTAAAGGCAGCTTGGTTTTTCTGTTTGGCGAAGTGTTCTTTTGAGCCTTTCTAGTTTCTATTGCTCATTTTGATAGTGCTCGGCATTTAGGAGGTAAAAACATAACTTTAGCGAACAATTTTTGAAGTCACTTTTCCTTTTCTGGAATAGACGGACCAAAGCGGGGATTAGGACACATAGCGCACTATACAAAAACCAAGAAAACATAGGAAAGCAACCAGAAAAGAAAAAGAAAGGAAGCAGCTTTATGTGGAATAAGGAGCCTTTGTATCATGATTGAACCTCTAATTCTTCCCTTTTCACTCATTATCTTCGCTTTTCATTGGTTTGTATTTTCACAACCATTTATATCTAAGAGTAAAAAACTTTTTCTGCAATGTGATGTTTTCCTACGTGTCATAAACTCTATTGTATTGTGATTTGTAATAATGGAAGTTGCAATCCATGTAATCACAAGAGTTTGTTGTACTTTTCACTCTAATAGCTTTTAAGCTTTATGATTACACCAAGGACACACCTATTCGCAGGGCCGTCTAATGAATTTGGAGGCCCTGGTTCAAAATCTAAAATCGGGGCCCCATATTAATATAAAAGAATTTAAAAAAATCTCAATCCAAATAGTTATACTCAAATCAATGGAATACTCATTAAAAAAGAACTAAAAGAGTAAAAGGAACAACGAAAAAATGATGTATCTATATTTGTGTTTTTCACTAGACAGTTAAGTGTATTTTATTGATTAGTATTAATATATAATATTACTATATAATACTAATAAATTTTTAAAAATATGGGGCCCCTTAAATCTGGGGGCCCTGTTCTGGATAACCTATTGAACCCCTAAAAAACGGCCCTGCCTATTCGTAACTTAACGATTTTAATGATTCTCAAATTATCTTAATTAACAGATACGTAGTATTATGACACTAAAGAGTATTGTTATACCATCACAACTCTAGTCACCTTTTATCCATGAATTCTACTCCGTATTTAATTAATATTTTACGAAAATCATGAGATGTGATTTGCATTTTTAATGGTATATTGTCGCCACATGTGATTATTGTGCAAACCAGCATTTGAGTTGGAAGCATGGGAAAATGTTGAAATAGATTTTTCTACTATTTCAAATTCATCACGTGAACTTTTATACTCGTAAGTACTTCCTCCATTCTTTTTTAGTTGCAACGGTCAACATTTCACATTTACCAACGCACGTCTTTGACCGTAATTATATCGTAATCTCTATTAGTAAAAAATAATTAAAAATCAGATTTTGAAAATTTGTAATGAGATGAATTGAACAATATTTTTTTAAAATAATAATTTTCGTAAAATAATACTGTAAAATGTAGTCAAAGTAGAACATGTGAATAGTGTGAAATTCAACATTGCAATTAAAAAAAACGGAGAATAGTACTAAACTATGGATGGACGAAAAATAATTGACTTAATCATCTAATCAAGCAGAAAATAATTAGCAATTGGTTTGCATCTATTGAAATGATTGGTAGCAATATGCTCAAATGGAATTGTTAGATTTAGTTTGGTTTTAAACCAAAAACGTAAATCAAACCAAAAGACCAAACAATGATTGACGTTTATTAAAATATTTCATATTTGTATCCACTCTTAATCTATTGTCTATAAATAAACTAGTTATACGTAGTACGTAGTATATGTAAACACATATGTTTATTATGTACCATTTTAACTTTTACATGTTTCATACTTCCATTTTGATAAAGTTAGCTTATAAAACTTGTTTGGTGTGTTTAATACTCCGTATCAAACTTTGACAATGATAATAGTACATTGTATTTTATACCATCTTCAGTTAAATAAAAAAATGATAAAAATCATATATACATGATCTTTGAATATAACTATGAACTTTGCGACATCTTTTACCACCTTCTTGTTTACAATTCTTTGAACATTTTATGCGATGATGTTGTAAATGTTAACCAATCATAAACTACTTTCGTGATTATTTCTAGGCTTCTAGCTGTTGCAAAGATGCAACTATGGATCAGGATTATCGCATGTTCTAGGTCATTGTAAGACAAATTAGGTGTTGCTTAATCATTTATTAATTATTTTTTCTTTTAATCTTTCATTTTTCTTTATATTTTATTTAACTAATAAATACAAAGATGAGGTGAACTATTATTTTCATATTTTACTTCTAAAAAAAGATTTTTTGTAGACAGATGGACCAAGTTAGGTCAAATAAACCAATAAACACATGAGACCAAATTAAATTGAATCATATTATTTTTATTTTGGTAATCAGACTTGAAACCAATTCAAATTGAAGCGCTCCTAAATTAAACTTAAATCAAATCGAAACATAAACAATTCTTTCTATGCCGCCTTTCCCAAACTGAACCATAACCTGAAATGCTTACTCCTAGTAGAAGTGTTGTTATACTAATCACAACAACAATAATAAAAGCCCGTTTGGTGATCCTGTTTTTCGGGTAATCAAGCTTACCAGTCAACTTTTTTACCAAATGCATAACTTTTGATTTCGTGTGCTAAATTGTGTAATAATAAGAAAAAATAAGATTGGGGTTATTTTTCTGACTGTATTGGCTGAAAATATTGTAGATGATCATTTTAGCTATTTTTCATATAATTTTTTATTTATTTTATTAATACAATATATGTCAAATATAACTTTTTCATAAATCAGCATAATCAGTCAATTCAGCCACTTCAGCCAGAACTTCATAAATTTCAGCAAAATTAATTGATTAAGCTAATTTCAGTGCTACCAAACAGGCTCTAAGTAATACTAATTGGGTACCACTTATTGGAAAAATCCTACTTGGTATATCTTACCAAAAGTGAGCACACATGCTTGCTACTAAAAGAGTAAAGCTGTGGCAGAGTTAGTGAAACTTCTTTAACCCTGTAAAATGCTTGCCTGTAAAACTTCTTCTTCTTTTCAGGGAAAAAGAAAAAGCAAAGGTCTTGAGATAAGAAAGCAATGCTAAAACGCACAGTAAATGGTGATGATGAAGATATATGGGCAACAACCCTTCAAAGTTTCATGGATAACAAATGAGCAGCAGTAAAGTAAGGAATAGTTTTACTCATCCCAAAACCTTTGAACCATAGCTAAGTTCTGCCAGAGATGAGAAATATCATCAACCAATCCTTTCCTGCAGTTGATTAGATCACAGAAATGATTTCCTTCCCTGACTGATTGTTCACTTTCAAAAGCTCTCTCACCTGACTCAACCCCACCTTCCACTCCCCTGCAGCTTTTGGTATATCTCAACCTTCTTTTGCAACAGAAAAATCCACCATCTTTGATGACAGACACCAAAGTGTAGCTTAGTGGTAGAAAAAAGAACATAAAAAGCCTGTCTGATTCCATGAGAGAAGAGATAGAGAGGCTAAGGGTTCTATTAATGCAAGATGCATCATGCATGGCTTCTCGTTGAAAAATGAAAATTAAAAAAATAGTAATAAAAAGATAATGTGTATAACTGATATGATGCAACGGAAACTTTAGAGAAAGAGTGTGTTTCTATTTCGGGAACTCTACATAAACTTTTTAAACATATCTCACATTTTCTATAAAAAAAAAATAGTGTTTCTCGTTTCTTTTCTCCAGACTTAATTCTTAGTGTATAAGTAAGGGAGTGTTTGGAATTGATTCTCCTTCTACTTCTTTTTTAAAAGTAGAAGTAGAATCATAATCAGATTTTCAGAAGCTGATCTCTCCCTACTTCTAAGAAACTGCTTCTAGGAGCATTTTGGAGCATCCAGAAGTGTTTCTGCACTTTCACCCAAACACTCTTATCTATTTCTGCTCCTTGAGGAGATCCAAACACCCCCTAAACCATATTGTATTTCTTATGTTTAAAATCCAGTTAAAACCAAAGAGACCCACTTGAAACAGAGCATTAGCTTCAGGGTTTTCATCCTTAGCCTTGCCCAGTGGGGAGAGAGATATGGGACCCAACATCTTGTGTTAACCTTAAAAGGGGAAAGGACATAACAAGAGGGGAGAATCTGAAAAGGAAAAGTTGTTATAATATTCCTACTGCTGCATGCATGTTCCACCAACTAGTCAATAACATTCCTCCAACGCACTTTCAGTTTTCCTAATAAACTGGTCGTTTATAACAGAGCTAACTATTTCAGCTGCATATTCAGTCTGAATAGAAACTGTACTTTTGTCTATTCATTTAGCATTAGGCCTGATTCCATACTCAAGTTAGTGATCAACGCCAATTAAGGTTATATTTGGATCCTGAAAGCAAAGATATTGGTTTGATTTATTTTGCCAAATGCAAAGTAAAATGAAACATGGTGAATATTTTGGAAATATTAGTATATAATATTAATATATGCTTAGCTTGCTTATTATTTATAATAACAGTACATAAATAAAAATGTATTTAAAATATTTAATAAAGTTGAAATGTTTTCCTCATCATTTTTTTTTGGAAAACTACCAAATAGATCTCATACTACTTTCATAAGATTTATTGAGTCCTCATACTATGAAAGCACTCATTCCATCCCCCAACTTTAAAAAACGTTAAAATAATACTTTTAACGTGTGAATTACCAATTATCAGGTTATTATGCACATGCGGCATCCATATAACTAATTTTATTCTTTTTCCTTTTCTTTCTTTTCCTTTCTCCCTCCCCCTCTCTTTGTCCATTTTCACACTTTTTCCCTGCTATTGCTTGAAGCCTTGAACTGTGGTTTAAGATTCATCTTTGTCTTTCTTTTAAATTTTTAAATTTATTGTTCTCTTTTATTATATATCTCTTTCTCCCTTCCCTTCATGATGGGGCGCTAGCAATACGCAGTTCCTAGACTCTGGCAGCAAACTCCGACAACAGACGCCGACAACGGTGTTATGTTCTACGACGCTCGTTCTCTCGTCACAGAGTCGCTCTTCATCGAAAATCGTGTATCCGGATCCCAAAAATAGGAAGAGAGGTAGAAGTCTTAGGACATTTTTACTTGGTCTGAAATTTAGTAGTCTGTTCTAGTCTGGTCTGTGATTTATCTGTTTAAATTTGGTTTAATCTAGGACTGAAAAGTGAAAACAGTCTAAGTAAAAACATCATTTAGTTCCAAACAAGAGAAAAGAGAAGCAAAAGAGGAGAGGAAGAAGTCATGGATCCCAAAAAGAAGAGATATAAAAGAGAAGAAGCATTTGACGCTCTTATGGAGTCACATGAGGTATTGTGCTACTACCATCACCATTCATTTTTTAGTGAAGGACTGAAGGAGTCCACTAAAAACATGAATGGTGATGGTAATGTGATAATACTCATATGACTCCATAAGAGAGTCACATAAGGCTCCTTAACATTTTGGAAAGAAGCAGGGGAGAAGGAAAGAAAGGAAAAAAATACTAGTGAGATTGGGAGTGGGGGCGGTTGGTGAATTAGGCAGCAAACTCGCCATAGAACATGAAGCCGAGGAAAAGAAACCAAAGGAAGAAGAAATCGAGAGAAGGAAGAAAGAAAAAGAAGAGAAGAAAACTGAAAAGAAAAGCAAAAGGAAAAAGAAAAATCGGCGCCACATAGGTGTCCAAAATCAACTGTTACCGGTGGTAGCTAAATCAACCGGCCCAAAAGTACAAATGAGTGTTTTTATAGTTGGGACCTTGGGGGGTTTAATTGGATGATTTTTAATTGGATGATTTGATAGTCCAGGCACTCAATTGTACAGGACTATTTGACATTTTCCGTTTTATTTTCTTCCAAATTCTTATATATTGCTTCCCTATCTCTAGCATTTTCGGCATGATTGGGTAACGGGTACCAACTCTTTATAGCATTCATCAATCATTTCAAACAAATACGCTCAGGACGACCAATATATGCACAATCACATTCCACATACCTGTATGACAAAATGAACAAGCATAACTGGTTACAACTCGCACGATACAGAATTCAAATGAAACATCAAACATATAACTAAAACAAAGGATACTATGGATGCACATAAGCACATATATAATATACACAATGCCGGTCATTCAATCCCCATACAAAGGTCATGAATGAGATCAATGTCTTCAGTAGTTAATAAAAAATGTATCTTTGGATAGTACACTTACACAATACAAAGTGGTACTGAAAGGATAAGCAAGTGGACAATATACACTGAACATTACATTAGATTCACGTAGTCGGTTTACATATAAACCTCTATCCCAATATACTTGGTGGACTGACACAGAGGGCACACGCCATTTTTACTTTCACATTCTTTACAGAGGCAGAGGTGCTTACACGGCAGTAGTAGCATGCACACAGGGTGGACCCCACAAACCTTACAGGTCATCGTTGACTTCTTCATCTCATTGCTCTCCCTTCCGAGCAATTGAAAATCAATGGCAGGAGCATGACAGCAAGATGCTGTGTCATCCACCTCGCTGTCACCACAGCCTTCTTTACTGTCTTTGCTTTGTTGGGCATAAACCTGTTGTAAGTTAAAATTGAGCGTGTTAATGAGATTTTCATTATATTTAGCTCTCCGCTGCCAAGCATTGGCCTCCAATGCCAGCTGTTCCATTTGCATCTCGAGGTCCACATTCTTCTTATTTATGTTTTCTACCTCAGCCTCTTTTTCACGTAGCTTTCGGATGACCTTTTCTTCAATGTAGGATATGGTATGCAGTTGATTTGCGTGAACTTTCTCAAGAATAGCTTGCCTCAACTGATCACCCTTCCAAGAGAAACAAATTGTGAAACAATGAGTAACAGAAGCACAATCAAGACTGATGTTTGATTAGTCAATAGAATGTGCTGTGGGCTGACTTATTAACAGAACCCATGTTTGATATAGTACAATTATTGGTCATGTATATGATAATATCTATGAGCTCACTCAACTTATGTGGAAAAAACATAATTAAATTGCACAGTAATCCAGCATGGAAGATGTTGGCAATTTCCTTGAATAGTTTATTTCAGTAATTCAGTTTCAGTCAGATTCTATTTTATTACTACGTCTGTCCCAAATGATAGTGCATATTTACTATTCATAGGACATCACAGTTCACTTCTGAGATCTAAATTTATGTATCAATTTTAATCATATTTCAAATCATTTATTGAGATAGAATAAAACCTTTAATGTAGCTTCTAAATATGTACATTTATACTTTTTAATTGTAATTGCATTATTGTCAAGGAGAAGTTGACTTTGCATTACTGTAAATATGTTCCTTTTATAATTAGGAATCTTATAATATCTATATAAAAGGCCTCAATGTTATTATTCAATAAACTACTTTTGGAGAATCAATTCTTTTGTGTATTGCCTAGGTCAGGCACTGGTTCATTCCATTTTATGGCTAGTGTTCAAATTACCCTGTTAGTAAAATACAAAAATAAAATCATAGATTTGGAGCTCAAAATTGGGCCCTACTTCCATTCTGAGATCTCCTTCTAGACCCATAGACGAGATCTCAATACATATGCACATGTTTTAATAAAATTCTAAAGCTAGAAGTTTGGACTATAGTACTACAGCTAGGGATCTTTACATTTAATACTTTTTAATCCCCAATGGATAATTTGGGTGGATAAAGCCAAAGGGCATGTTTGGACTTCGGATAAAGGATTTTGGAAGGAATGGAGAGCTAAATTCTATATCTTGACACATAGAATGCTTATAAAAAAGAATACATGTTAATTCAAATGTTATACCATAACATATTACATTGATCTTTCAACTTTAAAATCTGAAAAAGAATGAGTTATAGACTAAACTCTCCAGGCCCACCACAAGCTTCCCCTACAAACCTTTCCAAAATCCTCCATACAAAGAGACGACCATAAGAATAATAAAGTTGAAGTTTCATAAGGAAATAAACATCCTTCCACATGGAGATGATGTCCTATGTGAAACTGTTGATCATTTGGTTTCTACTACCCACAGGAGTGCTGTAAATTCCGAGTGTGGGTTCTGTAAATTTGAGGGAAATCAAATTGTCGCATCAATTAGGACATCATCTCATGTGAGAAAGGACTTGAGAACAGTCTTTTTGGAGCGAAATATCGAGTGAAGTAGGTTGGTTTAAATTTCAAAAGCAATGGTATAAAATGTATTTCCATGCGTCGTGCACAAATTCGAGTGAAGTAGGATTGTTTGAATTTCAAAAGACAACATGCAAAATGTAGTTCAAGTCTGTATCCTAAATCCAAATGCATGAATTTATAACAGTTTATCATGAACTACAATTTGAATCTTCAAATTGTTGCCTAAGAAATATATGCCTGAAGAATTTGATATTGCGCTCCATAATGTTTTCATCTTAAAGAGGCAGATGAATTTACTAATGTACTCCCTCTGTCCCAAAATTATTGTCCCGCTTTCCTTTTTGGTCCGTCCCGAAATTATTGTCCCGTTTCTTTAACTTCCTTATTTGGTAAAGAAATCTATACCAAACAGTGTCAAACAGTGCCAAACAGTGTCGCTACAGTGCCAAACAGTGTCGCTACAGTGTCATTTTCTTAATCTGTGTGAAAAACCAAACGGGACAATAATTTTGGGACGGAGGGAGTAGTAAATAAAGCAATCTTAGAAAAGTACTAGGTCTGTTAAAGAAAATAGCAAGTTTCTGCAATTTGTATTATAAAGAAATACATATTGTCTATGACAAGAATGGTGAATAAACACAACTTAGGCATGGACAAATTGTTTCTCAAACAATGTACTCTATTTCTTTCACTTTCCAATTAGTAAATAAATACCGAGTATGTTTCAAAAGAAAACGAGCCAGAGTGCACACACAAACACAAAGGAAACCAACCAAGGCAACCATCATCTACATATGAAAAATCAAATGTCAACCAATGGAAATAAAGTAGGAACAGACCTGAACTTTGATGAACCTATCCATCTCAGCCTCCTGTCTCTGAAGCTCAAGTTCAATGTCATCTCCTGAAAAGCCCAGAAAAGACGAATCACCAGATGATGCCATTCTCCCATTATCAAGGGACAAGCCAAGCCCAGTAGACACCGAAGGTGGCTGCAAGAACTCTATAGAGGATATCGGAGAATTGTTCTCCAGAAAATCTTGCTCCTTGGGCCTCTTCTTGTTCGGCTCGAACCCATAATTCCACTGCAAATCGAGCCCACTTTCTTCCACCGCGCCAGGTACTAACCCAGCCACTTGAACTGAGTCTCAAATTAAGCATAAAAAATCCGATATTTAAGAATTAAATCAAATTCAGCAAACAAAAAAGACCAACAGAGAGAAACTAAGATAATCGAGATTGTTAGAATAGTACAAGGAGGAACATATGGAGGATGGTGAGAGTGATCGGGAAGATTAGAGCCGTTAAAGTAAGACACAGGCTGCGAAATCTGAGCATCCATGTTGTAAAAATCTCTGAAATATAAAAGTCAAAAAGAAATCGTCATCAGAAATAGTAAAGCTAGGGTTTTGAAAAACGAAATGAAATGGAATTTTGAAACATATGAAGGAACTGATTGTTTACCTGAAAGCTCGTGATTGTTGGAAGTGCTGCTGCTGTGGAAAAGCCATGGCCGTGGAAGGATGATCGACGGAGAGAGGGGGAGATTTGGAAGGGTCGAGCTGATCAATAATCTGGCCGTGCCGCCGTGGTAGGCGAGGATGAAGATTCCTCTTCTATTTGCATCTTCATGCTCCAAAATTACATGAATTATACATTTGACTATGGAAATTGGGTTGGGCTCATTATCAATTGAACGCGAATGAAAGGTTCCTTTGATTCGGACTTTCAGTTGTTAACACAGTTTTTACTTTAATTGGGCTGATTTCGCTTGTTAAACATTTCTTTTCTTTAGTTGGGCTGGATTGCAGTTTACATAGTTCCAAATTAAATCACCCTTATCTTTTTGGTGGAAATATATTGTTGGGAAAACTAATAAGCCCTCGTACTATGCCGAAAAAGTCGATTAGGCTCTCGTACTTTACAAACACTCAATTAAGTCCTCGAACTATTATAAAATGTTCAATTAAGCCATTTCGATCGGTAAGTAACCGGTTTCCCGGTTAAACGGCAACGACGGCGACGATGTGCTCGAACCCCAGCAACGGCGCCTGCCGGGAAACGGGTTACATTTAACCGGGAAACCGGTTACCTACCGACCAAAAGGGCTTAATTGAACGTTTTTAATTGTTCGAGGACTTAATTGAGTGTTTGTAAAGTACGAGGGTCTAATCGACTTTTTCGGTATAGTACAGGGGCTTATTTGATTGTTTTCCCTATATTGTTTAAAACAATTAATCATATTGATTTATCTACTCCCTCCGTTCCGATCAAATCCCAACGTTTGCTTTTGCACGATTTTTTAGGATATCAAATAATAGAAGAACTAATACCATTTATGTCATTGCCTTTTGTTATTGGTAGAAAATGTATGGTACCCTTAAGGTACCATACATTTGTACACATGGACTAATTAGAATGATGTAGTTGAATTATTTAAATCTAAAATAGAAATGATATAATGATTTGGACAAATCAAGTGAAAGGTAGGTACAGTACCCTATTTTGTAAATGGGTACCGGAGTTGTCACCTTTGTTATTTAGCTAAAATGGACATTTCCGACTCGCTGGAAAGATGATCAATACCAATCAATGGGAGGTAATTTTTACTACTTGAGGTTATTTACTACACCTTTTCTAAACTTGTTCAGCAAAAACTATGGCTGTTTTCTTTTGGACTATTTTCAGTCCCGGACCAGATCAGACAAGATCAGACCAGATCAGACTTCTGTAGTTATAAAATACACAGAGACCGGACGTTTGCAAGACCAGACCAGATCAGACCACCAAATTTCAGTCCAAAAGAAAACATCCTATGAAGGAAAATGGGAAAATGGAGGGAAGAACATAAATTTCAAATTTTCAACTTAAACTGAAGGTTTAGTTCATATTACAGCTGAACACAAAAATTATAAATAGGGTTTTCACTTTACACCCATACAATGTCAAACTTTTCGAATTATATTTATATACAAAAGTATAAATTCAAATTTTCTCAATGAAGACAAATATAATTAAACTCAAAAGATTGAAATAGAACCACATAGCTTTTATTAGCCTTTTTTGCCAATTGGAAGCTGCACAAGGGTGTCATTTCAACTGTTACATGTGAGCTTTCTTATTCAAGGCAAACAAGACAGATAGCACCATTTGGAATGTTATGAAGCACCAATTACACTTTTAGTTTTCTATTGATTTGAAGGCCAAGTATAGAGGTTGTCTGAATCATATGGATCCTTGATGGGGTCCGAATTAGCTTGATTTGGGTAATGTAAGTTTTATCATTTTAGAGATGGCTTTATTTTGAATCAAGTATGCATGTCATTTGGCTTTCATGAAATAAAAGTTTGGAAGTCCAAAATAAAATACGTGTGATCCCTTGAAAAGAGTTGGCTTATTTTGATTGGAATGAGGCCATAGAGAATAAAGAGGCTTGGATGAGTGGTCAGGAGATTTAGAGTATAAGTCGAGATTAACTTGGTCTCAATACCCCTTATTGATTTGAACCAAATTAGTATGACTAGATGATACTTTAGTTCCTTTTATATATTAGGCAAATAATTACTTTGGAAACAAACATTGCTCATAGTAACTAATTCCCTACTTGTTTTGAGAGTTTCCTTATTTCATTTTAAGATAGTAATTAATTCTCTACTTGTTTTGAGAGTTTCCTTATTTCATTTTAGGTAAGTTTAGGGTTTTATGTGATGATTCTAATCACTTTATAAATATCTCATGTGCTCTAGTACTTTTATTCAACCTACATGATAATACAAAAGAAATTCATTTACTCTTAATTGATTGTTTATCAAGAGTTTTTTAGCTCTCTAAAACTAGAACCTCGTGGAGCCTGGCACAAACTCCTTGTTGGCCCATGTTGGTCCGAGAGGCAAGCTACTCGACTAGTCTTCTGGTGGTTTCTTCTCCCTTGAATTCGTGAGAGATTTAGGTGATTCCAACAATTGTGTAGGCACTCATAACAAGCGGTTTGAGATCTCGCATCAATTGTTAATGTCCAAATTGATGGAAATTCCCAACATAGAAGATCAAACATTAAAAGTCTTACAAACTCACAGGTGCACATGTTGGTCCATAAGGATGAAATTAGAGCATGTAGCAATGTAATAAAGCTAATTCTAACTCAAGAAAACTTGAATAAAGTTAGAATTATGTCTAAAAATGTCTATGGAATTGTTGGATCAATCACAACCTTTGATCCACTACAATTGTGCTCATAAAGGTGAGAAATGATTTTGCCGAAATAAAATTACACAAAAATACTACCATACCCTCTTGAAGCAGAGCCAATACGATGTTACAAATCAAAAAGGTTCATTACAAAAGTTGATGTTTTTGGTAGCGTTGGTATGCAAAGAATTGGTCCAATTGAAGAGGCATTATTCGATGGAGAAATAGGGATTTTTCCTTGAGGCAGCAGAAAGGAAATCAAAAAATAGATATGCAAGTGTGTTTGAAACCAAACTAATATTGTATATCACCATACACACTACATAGGTCTTTTTTAATTGAAAACATTGTGCCAGTTATAAAATCTAAGTGGATAGTTACGTGAAGCAAACTCTTTTTTTAACAAGACAACGTCAACCCTCAGAAACTCCCAATCTAAAGGCTCTAGACTTAGGTTTGTTACGCGATGCAATCATTACAATATGAGTCTGTCCCAAAAAAACAGTTCTTGCATTGGTTGAATGTGTTCAAGATGCACTTAAACACATTCAAAATATGTGCTCCAATGTAAAAACAAACAAATTTGGAGTTAAAGGTTTGATTGTTATTGAATACCTATTTTTGAAAAATATAACTGGAAGTTGTAGGAAAATTTGTAATCAGGAGATCTTAATTTTAGCATTTGGATCAAAATAGATGTGAATAGTATGGGAAAGTACGGATATCATCTCCACAAAGATGAAAAAGAGAATCAAGTATTAAATATTTTTAACAATTTAAAATAAATTAAAAGGAGGATGTGTAAGATTGATTTTGTAAATAAATTGCAATGAAATTAAAGTTATATTATGTGTCTTTTACGAATTAATGACAAAAACATAACATGGATTGATTTCGAGATAACCAGATTTTGGGAGTGGTTAGACTTAATCACGTGAAAATTATTTAAAAGAGCAACGAAAACGCTATCAATATTAAATTCTTACTGCTCACACGGCGTAGAGTATAGTGATTTTGAGAGCAAAGTTGATCTCTCATGTGACAGACTTCTAAACCATTGTCAAAACGAGTGAGCGTACGGATCCTTAACTATGCTAATCTCTTAGTGAGTGGTAATGCGTGTGTGTGAAAGTATTCAAGAATACTTTAGATCTCTCTTAAATTATTCTATATTCAATTATGATCTTAGTGGTCATTTCAGGTTATAAAAGATACTCCCTCAGTCATGAAATGTAAGATGCAATTCGTTGGGCACAAGCTTTAATAAAATCTGTAAGAAGCTACCGCTATTCCATTTTTACCCTCTTCATAGTACATAGACGGTCACCTCATATGTCAAACCTTTTATAGCTATAAAATGTTTACCTCTGTCATCAACACATGTCAACCCTTTAATAAATATGGAGTTGTAATTCTGTTATTTGAATTTTATCTTTCTTTTCTCATATCTAGAATTGCATATTCAAGGTTGTTTCATCTCTTTCATATAGAGTAACTAGAGTCATTCAATTACGGAATACTCATATTTAACATAGTTATTCATAAGGCTTTATTTTCAAGAAGTGTGTGGTACCTTTAGAAAAGGTTACGTGTACCCATTAAAAACTACAGACCCAGTGCAGGTTGAAGAAAGCTAGCTTAGTTGTTCGGATTTCCTTTCAGACCAGCTATATTAAATTAAGGAAAAAGGGTCAAATAAGCCCTTCTACAAATGTAAATCCATCACATAGACCCATGTACTAATAGAAGCATCACATAAACCCCTACACTCTATAAAAGGAATCATTCCGGCGGCTCTCGGGCGGTGGGTCTTCGTTTTCATCATCAAAGGAGATTCATCCCTTGATTATG